GGTCCACCCCTCTCCACCTACGCACCGCTGGCAAAGAACGCCTACGACGCCGAAGACGTCGACGACGACAGCGACGACGTCGGCGGCGGCGGCGGCGGCGGCGGCGGCGGCGGCGGCGGCAACGACGACGACGACGACGACGACGACGACGACGACGACGACGACTACGACGACGACGGACGACGAACCAAGAACGCCAGACGACAGCCGATGAACGACGAACTACGAACGACAACGACGAACAACGCACAACGACGACTGTGACGATGCGAACGACGAAGGAGGGATGGGGATGACGATGACGACGACGACGCCGTCGTCGACGACGACGACGACGACAAACGATGGATGACGACAACGGCCAAGGACGACGACGGGCACCGCCGACGAAGTACGACGACGACGACAAAGATAAACACAATGGACGACGAACGACGGACGGCTGACGACAGACGACGAAAAACAAAGCCTAAGACCGACGATTACAACGACGCAGACAACGGAGGACGGACGACGGACAATTGACAACGATGACGACGACGATGATTACGACGACGACTGGTGGACGATCCAGCCCAAAGAGAATCCTAATAGGGTTGGATCCAGCCCTAATGGGATCCTACTGGAGGTGGATCCAGCTTTCGCAAAATCTCACTAAGGCTGGATCCAACTCTGATAGAAACCAACTAGGGCCATATCCAGCTCTAATAGGATCCAATTCGGGTTCGATCCAACTCGGATAAAAGCACGGCTAGGACAAGCTCGATCCAGCTCTGATAGGATGCGATTCGGGCTCGATCCAATTCGGATAGAGCACGGCTAGGGCAGGCTCGATCCAGCTCTGATAGGATCCTGCATTGGATCCAGCCTCTAGCTGAATCCTACTAGGGCTGGATCCAACTCGAACAGGCTCCTTCGAAAGGCTCGATTCAGCTTGAACAGCATCCTACTGTGGCTCTAACTGGCTTGTAAAGAAAAACCGTACTACAGCTGGATCCCCTTTGATAAAATCCTACCAGTGATTGACCTATCCCTCATATAATACGATCAGGCTTGATCCAGCTCGAATAGAGCCCTACCAGGGCTCTAACCAACTTTAATAAAACCCTTTTCAGGGCTCGACCCAGCTCAACCAGAATCCGATCAGGGCTGGATTCAACTCTGATTCAATCCTGCTAGGGCTGGATCCAATTCGAACAGAACTTCACGAGGGCTCGATCCATCTTTAACCACACCCTACTAAGGCTCGATCCAAATCTAACAGAGTCCTGTTATAGTTAGATCCCCTGGTGACAGAATCCTACGATGGCTCGATCCGACTTCAATGGATTCCTACCAGGGCTGGATCCAGCTCTGATAAAACCCAATCAGGGCTTGAGATTAGCTCTAATAAACCCAACTCGGGTTTGATCAAATTCGAATATAACCCGATCAAGACGGGATCCAGTTGTAAAGGAATCCTACGAGGGATCGACCCAGCTCTAACATCATCTTACTGGGACTAAGAGAATCCTTCAAGGAGTCGGTCCAGCTGTAACAAAATCCTACAAGGGCCAACTCTGATAGAGCCCTACTAGGGCTCGCTCGATCCCACTAATCAAATCCTATAAGGGCTGTTTCCACCTCTGAAAAAATCCTACTTGGGTTCGATCGTCGTTGGATACTCGGTTCTAGAGACTTCGCCGGCCCCACGGGCCAGAGGCGCGCTAAGAGCACCGGTAACTGCGCACAGTATTTCTACTTCGCGCGCGCGGAGCGGCCCCCGAGGGTCCCTGGACGAAACGTACCCCGGGCGGTCCCCAGCTGGGTCGGGTCAGAGATTTCTCTCCTGGGCGCCGCCCTCGAGGCCCTCCAGAGAGCCCCAAGAAGGGCCAAGAGGCCCCCAAGAGGCCCCCAAGAAAGGAGAGGGTTCGGAGATACCACAAGATCGCTCCAATATGCCCAAGATTGGCCACAGACGCCCCAAGAGGCCTCCAAAAGCGCTCCCGAGAAGGCCCCAAGACCTAAAATTCATCGGTTGTCCTTAGGTTTTGTTGGACAGATTTGGCCGTTCCCCCCCTTTTCGGCTTCCCGACGCCTCAAGACGGCCCAAGAGGTCCCCAAGATCGCCCCAGGAGGGTCCAAGGGGACCCCAAGAGAGCCCCAAGACGGCCCAAGAGGGTTCCAGGGCTGCCCAGGACGACTCCAAGACGACCCAAAAAGGCCCCAAAAACGCCCCAAGAGACGCCCCAGAAGGGGAGCACGAAACAACATTTCGAGCCCTCCGCAATAAGGAGACCCAAGGAATCCCCCAGAGCTCCCTAAGAGACCCCAAGAGGCCCCCAGCAGGCGGTCAGGAGGCCGCCAAAAGGCCCCCAAGAGCCCCAAAAAGGCCCCAGGTTAAGACGTCCCGGAAAGCCTCGGAGAATTCCCAAGAATTTCGTGCGCACTGCCCTCCAGAAGCTCACGGCAGCGCTCCGAGGAGACCAGGCACATGGGATTCTGAATTGTGAGAAAAGAAGGACAATGGAGAGGAAAACGCACCGCGAGCCTCACGAGCACACAGAAGTCTCGCAGTCCAGTGCTGACCCACCTACGCACAACAACATACCGGGGAACACAATCTGGGAGCAGAGGATAGAAGAGAAAAGAACCACCAAAGCTGTTCCTGCACCCCGCGATGGGAATGACAATCGACATCAGGACAAGCCGAGAGCCGATGTTCCCATTCAAAGCCCGCCACCCTCCGACACGAGGGTTCCATCATCGCATCAGATTTCTCACTCGAACGGCCCCCAAGCGAGCTTCCGCAGGCAACAAACCCCCCGCGAAACACCAGAAGCCCCACAGGGCTGCAAACACCCAGAAACCACGTAAGAAACCAACGAACCTCCGACATCTTCTCCACAATGTCCAAACGACCGCCACGCAGCTGCTCCACGGGAGCTGCGTCAACCCCAGACATGCCGAAAGCATTGTCTCACAAGCTCACACGCCGACCCTGCAGCTCCGCACTGCCAACGACAACTCGGCCAGCCGACACAGCGGTGCGCAAAAATGGGCCGGCGGAATGATCGAAGCGATTGAAGAATTATTGCTGATCTCCGGAAACGGTGCCGCGCGCTATCGCCTCGACGCCGGCTACATTCTCCCTGAAAGCGAAAGTCCCGCACGAGCATTGGTTTGAATGTAAATGTGTGCCCTTGGAGGCCCGGCTACAACGATAACGGTTCCCGCTCGATACTTCTTCACAATTTACCCCGAGACACCCTGACCAGAGAGACCCCCGAACTCAGGAACGGCGCTCTCGCTCGAGACTTCCTCGCGATTCAATCAAGTTGGCGGAGCCCAGCCACGACGACAAAGGCTCCTGCAAGCTCCCGAACTCAGGAACGGCACTCTCGCTCGAGCCTTTCTCACGATTCAGTCAAATTGGTGGATTGGTGGAGGCCCAACTACGACGATAAGGGTTCCCGTTCGATACTTCCTCAAGATGTATTCGCCAAAGGCCTTTGCCAGAGAGGCCCCCGAACTCAAGAGTGGCGCTCTCGCTCGAGACGCCCTCGTCATTCAAGTCAAGTTGGTGGAGGCCCAACCGCGACGGCAAGGGTTCCCGTTCGATACTTCCTCAAGCTGTACTTCGAGACCGCGTGGCCAGAGACTGAAATTCAGTAGCGGCACCAGAGGCCCACCTGCGACGACAGGGGCTCCCGCTCGACACGCCCTCGTAATGTACTCCTACACGCCTTGGCCAGAGAGGCCCCCGAACCACAGAGGCCCCAGCACGCTGCTCATTTAGGCCTTTCGACACAGCCCACAGAAGCTCCAAGCGCGCCCACAGGGGTCCCAGCACGCTGCCCACTGAGGCCCCCGGACACTGCCCACAGAGGCCCCCGCGCGCCCACACCGGTTTCAGCACGCTGTCCACTGAGGCCCTCGGACACAGCCCGCAGGAGGACTCAAGCGCGCCCACAGCCCCAGCCGACAGAGGCCCCTATCGCGCACACGGAGGCCCCGGCGCGCTGCCCACTGAGGCCCCCAACACACCCCACAGAGGCCCCAAGCGCGCCCACTGAGGCCCCAGCCCACAGAGGCCCCAAGCGCGCACACAGAGGCCCCACCGCGCTGCCCACAGCCCACAGAGGCCCCAGCCAACAGAGGCCCCAAGCGCGCCCATTAAGGCCCAAGCGCGCTGCCCACTGAGGCCCCCCGACACAGCCCACAGAGGCCCCAAGCGCGCCCACTGAGGCCCCAGCCCACAGAGGCCCCAGCTCGCTACCCACAGAGGCCCCCCGACACAGCCCACTGAGGCCACAGCCCGCAGAGGCGCAGCCACGATGACAAGGGCTCCCGCTCGATACTTCCTCATGCTTCACTCCGAGAGAACCTCTCTCGTGCTCCATCCTCCCTCCCACGTCCGTCTTCTCTTCCCCTGTTTTAGGGGCTGGGCTAAATGTGCGTAGCAGGTAAGGAAGGTTTTTCCCCCAGGGGTACAGTCAAAAACGAAGAGGGCGGGTATCGAGGGTTTGGGATATACGTGTTGAGTGGCACGCGATCAAGTAAGAGCGAACAGTCTTAAAATGATCGTCGTCGTCGTCGTCGTCGTCGTCGTCGTCGTCGTCGTCGTCGTCGTCGTCGTCGTCGTCGTCGCCTCGTCGTCGTCGTCGTCGTCGTCGTCGTCGTCGTCGTCGTCGTCGTCGTCGTCGTCGTCGTCGTCGTCGTCGTCGTCGTCGTCGTCGTCGTCGTCAGTTCCCGACGGCGCCAGCGCCGGTGCTGGCGCTCTGCGACATTGTTTGTCACTGGCGAGGGAAAGGGGGGAGGCCGGTTCGAACCCCCCCCCACCGCGTTGCAATTCAGGGGGGGGAGCCCCCCCCCCTGGTTCGAACCCTCCCCCTGAGGGGGAGGGGGCTCGGTCCGACCCGCCCCGCCCTGCAACTCAGTGCCCCACATCCCATTTCGACCTCCCCCCTCCACTTCCCAGCGTCCTCATAACGCGCCTTTTCAAAACTGAAACTCGGGGTCAGCGGGTTCTGGTTGGCGTGACGGGGCCGTCAGGAAGATGCGGAGACTTGGCTGCTCGTTCTGGGTACCTTCCTGGAGCTCGAAGCTGCGTCGAACGTCTGTCGATTCGAGTCGACCTTGAGTCGAACTTGAGTCGAACCTGAATCGAACTTGAATCGAACTGGGGTCGAACAGATCCGTTAGGTGGGCCCCAGGAGGTCCCCAAATCGAGCGCCTAACGAGACCCCGTTTGAAATTTGACGCGAGCTCCCGCTGCAAGCATCCCACGAAAACTGGACCGTTAAAATTCAGGATGGGCCCGTCAAGAAGCGTCGGCAAACCCGCATTCTGGCGAACTCGAGTCTTACGTTTCCCCGACAGAAGCCTTCCCGCCTTCCATCTAACCGCCCTCGCCCTTCTCAAAGGTCACCCCCCGCGCATCACCCCCTCGAGTGGAGGTCGCCCAACTGGAACTGGAGCAGATGGGGTCGCAAGCTCGCGCCGCATGGCCCATGCAGAGCCCATGCACAGGCTACGCCAGGACGGAGAAAATCGGGCACTGGATGCACCGGCGATGCTGCGACTGAGCATCGTTCACCGATCCCCGTCCCCACTGGCATGGCCTTGGCTCCACTGGCCGACTTACCCGCCTAGATTGGATGACGTATATAAACCAGGATCAGCCCCCCCGCCGATATCTCCAAGGGGGAGTTGTGTGTTGCTGTGGATGTGTGGTGCTGCAGTGCCTCACCCCTGTGAGTGTCATGCGGTGCTGTGGTGCTCCACAGAGCGGGAGGGCGGCAACCTCGCTTCTCGCGGAGACTCGGCCTCCAGGACAGGTCCCAGCCGTCGTCGTCGTCGTCGACGTCGGCGGCGGCGGCGGCAGCGTCGGCGTCGACGTCGGCGGCGGCGTCGGCGTCGGCGTCGGCGTCGGCGTCGGCGTCGGCGTCGGCGTCGGCGTCGGCGTCGGCGTCGGCGTCGGCGTCGACGTCGGCGTCGGCGTCGGCTTCGGCGTCGACGTCGGGTCGGGGTCGGCGTCGGCGTCGGCGGCGGAAGCGCCGTCGGCGGCGGCGGAGGCGGCGGCGGCGGCGGAAGCGACGGCTACGGCGGCGGCGGCAGCGGCGTCGTCATCATCGGCGCCGTCGCCGTCGTCGTCGTCGTCGTCGGCGCCCCCCCCTCCCATCCCATCTTGGGGGGGAGAAGGGGGGCGTGAAAACCATGGGACCCATCCATCCCATCTGGGGGGTGGGGGCTCTTGAACCCTCGACGCTGGATCATGCATGCTGTTCCCTTCAGGCTTCGCGGATCTACCGCCCCACCTGGACGGGTGGGGGGGAGGTGCGGCTGAGATACCATGTCCCAGTGTGGATGAGGCTGGTGGACGATCTGGGCACCCCTGGAAAACCCTCGACGAGGCGCAGCTGCCGGAAAGCAGCCCGAGGCGGAAAAACATCAGTGGGGATGGGGATCGATTAGGCGAGGGCCTGTTGAGGCAACCGCGGCTCTTCCGACTGGCCCAAATCCGTTCAAAGTCGGTCCCCGCTCCCCATTCTGACCAGTTTTTCGACGCGGATCTTGCCGCGGCGACGAGAAGCCTCCAGGAAGCCCAGAAAGGACGAAAATTGCAAGGGAGGACCGCCGTTATCTCGACTGGGCTTCGGGCGTTGAGGACCTACCCCCCGCCTGGGGGGGGGGGGGGGCGGGGCGGAGGGCTGGTGGGGCTGCAGTGCCAGCGCCCAGCGGGGATGGGGATCGGCTAGACGGCGCTGACCGACCCGAGCTACTCCCAGCCAGTATGGGCGGCCCACCTTGTGCGCGCCGCCCGACCACCCCGCGGGGCGCGCGGAGGCGCCAGGCTCCCCGCCTCGGCTCGCCGCGGCCGCCGCTGCCACGGGGGGGAGGGCGGCGTCAGAAGCGGACGAACACCTGGGCGGGCGGACCGGGGAGTAGAGGGGCGGAGGAGGAACGACGAGCGAGGAGGAGGAGGAGGAGGAGGAGGAGGAGGAGGAGGAACGAGAAGAAGGAAGAGAAAAGAGGAGGAGGAGGAGGAGGAGGAGGAGGAGGAGGAGGGGAAGGAAGATGAGGAGGAGGGGGAGTGAATGAGTAGTACGAGTGAGGGAATGAGGAGCGAGGAGGAAAGAAGGAAGGAAGGAAGGAAGGAAGGAAGGAAGGAAGGGAGGAGGAGGAAGAGGAGGATGGAAGAGGACGAAGAGGGGGAGGATGAGGGAGGAGGGGAGAGGACGAGGAAGGCGGAGGAGGAGGACCAGTATGAACCCAAGAGTCATCAGCGATTTTGGAATAAACCCTCCCTCCAAGCTCCCTCTTCATAGGCCCCTACAACGGTTCATTGCCATAGAGAGAACTGCCTCGTTGGAAAACATCCGTTTGAAGACCCCGAAGCATGCCAAAATATTGTTCTCGGGATTCCAACGCCACGGATAAACCTGATTGTTGTGTCATCACGATCCTGAATCGTGCTGGAACCCATTCTTGGGATTTCAGCACCGCGAATAAACATAACTGCTGCACCCGCAAAATCCTGAATCCCTCCAAAGAAAATCATTTCTGGTACGTTGATCATGGGGTTCCGTGAAGCCCTTGCAAATGTTATAAACGAATGTGCGCGGCGCCAACGCGAAAGCAACATTTGAAAATAAACCGCCCTCTATCCGTGAAACTCTTGCAAGCTTTGCAAACGAATGTGCGCAACGCCAAGGCGATAGCCACGGTTTGAAAACGGGCCGCCCTCAATCCGTGAAACTCTTGCAGAGTTTGCAAACGAATGCGCGCGGCGCTAAGGCGAGACCCACAATTTGAAAACGGGTCGCCCTCAATCCGTGAAACTCTTGCAAAGTTTGCAAACGAATGTGCGCGGCGCTAAGGTGAGAGCCACATTTTGAAAACGACCCGCCCTTTATCTGTGAAACCGTCGCCAATTTCTAAGCTTCGGAATCATAACTGGCGAGGACGTCCTAGGCGAAACGCCCAGCCCGCACTAAAAACTGGCCTCGGGGTGCGACGGGGAAAAACAATGCACAAGGAAAAGGAATGGAGAAGGAGGAAGGGGGAAGGAGAAGGAAAGAGCAGAGCAGCGAGGAGGTGCAGAAGGGCACAAGGACCTTCTGGGGGCCCGGCGTCGGCACGCTGGCCGCCGTGACGCCGCCGACCGCCATCCCGTGGACGCCGACGGGCCTGGAGAGCAGCGGAAGGGGGAGCTGCCGCAGGCGCACAGCGCGCGAGTCTCCTGCTGCTGCTGCGGGCAGGTCTACAGCAAGGACTGGTGCCATACCTCATCTTTCTCCTCCTCTTCCTCTTCCTCCTCCCCCCTCTCCTCCTCCTCCTCCTGCTCCCTCCTCCTGTTCCTCCTGCGCCTCCTCCTCCTCCTCCTCCTCCTCCTCATCCTCCGCCATCATCATCATCATCATCATCATCATCATCATCAGCAGCAGCAGCAGCATCAGCATCATCATCATCATCATCATCATCATCATCATCATCAGCATCATCAGCATCACCATCATCATCATCATCAGCATCAGCATCAGCATCAGCATCATCATCATCATCATCATCAGCATCAGCAGCATCATCATCAGCATCAGCATCATCATCATCGGCATCATCATCGACTTCCTCTTGCTCCCTCCTCCCCCTCCACATGTTGCACCCTCCTCCTTCTTCTCCTCCTTCTCCTGCTCCTCCTCCTCCTCTTCCTTTTCCCCCTCTTCCTCCTCCTCCCTCCTCCTCCTCCTCCTCCTCCTCCTCCTCCTCCTCCTCCTCTTCTTCCATCCTCCACCTCCTCCTCTTCCTCACTCCTCCCTCCTCCCCCTTCCTCCTCCCTTCCCCTTTCTCCTTCCTCCTCCTCCTCCTCCTTCCTCCTCCTCCTTCCGTCCGCCCCCTTCCTCCTCCTCCCCCCCCCTTCCTGCCTCCCCCGCTCCCGTCCGCCCTCCTCCATCCTCTCTCCTTCATCCTCCTCCCTCCTTCCTCCTCCCCCTCCTCTCGTCCACTCCTCTTTCCTCCTCTCCTCCTCCGCCCCGCCCTTCCTCTCTTCCCCCCCCCCCCCGCCTCCCCCTCCGTCCGCCCTCCTCCATCCCTCTCATTCCTTCCTCCTCCCCTCCTCCCCTCCCTACTTTCCTCCCTCCTCCGTCCGCCCTCCTCCTCCTCTCCACTCCTCTTCCTCCTCCTCCTCCGCCTCCGCCTCCTCCCCCACAAAGCCTTCTCCTCCCTCTCCTCTCCTCCTCCTCCTCCTCCTCCTCCTCCTCCTCCTCCTCCTCCTCCTCCTGTTTATTAATATGATGATTCGTCGCATTCGTATTATTATCAGTATTAGTGTTATTGTTACGATTTGTCGTTGTAGTATGAATACTACTATGCTTCCGCCTAATAATAGTCATGCTTATTGTTGGTAGTAGTCTTCTTCATGCTCGCATTCTTAATATGAATAGTATTAGTGTTAGTAGTAGGTTGACTTGCTTACATCACCATTATTAATAAAAACTACCATTCCCTACCTAGGCTCTGCCTAGAGGGTTCTTACTTTGTTTGCTTAAAGGGGCCGGGCAGTGTAGGCCGCCCCGGGCGGTTCCCCCAGTCCCCGCCCCGCGGTTCCCCCAGTTACGTCCCCTTAGCTTAGCGTTGCTTGTCTCATCTTAGCTTAGCTTAGTTTATCTTAGCTTAGCTTAGCTTCATCTTAGTTCAGGTTATCTTAGCTTAGCTTACCTTCATCTTAACTTCGCTGAGTTTTAGTATAGCAGAGCACAGCAAAGCATAGCATAGCATAGCATAGCTTAGCGCAGCATAGCATAGCATAGCATAGCATAGCATAGTATAGCATGGCATAACATAGCGCAGCTTAGCATAGCATAGCTTAGCATAGCACAGCGCAGCATGACATAGCATAGCTTAGCATAGCATAGCATAGCATAGCATACCATAGCGCAGCATAGCATAGCATAGCATAGCATAGCATAGCATAGTGCAGCATAGCATGACATAGTATAGCATAGCATAGCATAGCATAGCATAGTATAACAACTAATGCTGCTTCCCTATGGGCTCAAATTTCTAGGTAGGGTCGCACTGGGGTAATGAGTACTATTTTGAATCTACATATTCGTCTTATTATTCTTCCTCGTAAGATTGTTATCATTAGTGTTTCTCCTTTTTCTTCTTATTATGATAATGACTCGGATTATTATTGTTAATATTACTCCTACTCTTCTGCTCATGATTAGTGTTATCATTCGTCGTAGTATTACAGTTCGTGTTCCTATGAGTGTTATTATTTGGTTATTATTCTTGATAGTCGCATCCTTGTATTTATGATTATTCTTTCGTATTATTATTCGTAGTCTTACTCTGTTGCTTATTATTATTACTATTATTATTATTATCACTATTACTATTATGAATATTATTATTAATAGTAGTATTCGTCCTCCTCCTCCTCCTCTTCCTCCTCCTCCTGCTGTTTCTCCTCCTCCTGCTCCTGCTCCTGCTCCTGCTCCGCAAAAACTGAAGCTCCAGGGTTGAGGCTTTGAGGCGAGCCTGATCCTTGTTGGCCTCCGGTGGCCTTCACGGGCCTCTGGAGATCTCTGAGGACATCCAGACGCCTCTAGAAGCCTGCAGTAGCACAAGCATCCTCCTCTTCCTCCTCCTCCTCCCTCCTCCTCTTCCTCCTCCTCCTCCTCCTCCTCCTCCTCATCATCTTCATCAGCAGCAGCAGCAACATCATCATCATCAGCAGCAGCGGCCGCATCATCATCATCATCATCATCATCATCATCATCAGCAGCAGCAGCAGCAGCAGCAGCAGCCGTAGCAGCGTCATCATCATCATCATCATCATCATCATCATCATCATCATCCTCATCCTCATCCTCATCCTCATCCTCATCCTCATCCTCATCCTCATCCTCATCATTATTATCAACGTCATCATCAGCACCATCGAAAACAACAATATCAGCATTATCAGCATCAGCGTCACCATCATCTCCATCATCATTGGCATCAGCATCAGCATCATCATGATCATCATGGTCGTCATCATCGTCAGCATCATCATCACCACCATCACAGTCACCATCACCATCACCATCACCATCATCATCAGAAGCATCATCATCGGCATCGGCAGCAGATCATCATCATCATCATCATCAGCAGCAGCATCAGCAGCAGCATTATCCTCATCCTCACCACCACCATCATCATCATCATCATCATCATCATCATCATCATCATCATCATCATCATCATCATCAGAATCCCATTGTCATCGTCATCGTCATCATAATCATACTCATAATCCTAATCGTCATCGTCATCATCCTCGTCATCATCATCATCATCATCATCATCATCAGCATCAGCATCAGCATCAGCATCAGCATCAGCAGCATCATCATCATCATCATCATCATCATCATCATCATCATCATCGGCATCATCATCGTCATCATCATGGCTATCGTCGTCATCATCATCATCATCATCGTCATCATCGTCATCATCAACCTCAACATCATCATCATCATCATCATCCTCATCATCATCAGCAGCATCATCATCGTCATCATCGTCATATTCGTCCTCGTCATCATCATCAGCATCATCAGCCTCAGCATCAGCATCAGCATCATTTTCAGCATCACCAGAATCCAAATCATCGACATCATCATCATTGTCGTCATCATCACCACCACCACCACAATCATCATCAGGAGCATCATCATCATCATCATCATCTCCATCAGCGTCACCATCATCAACAACAGCATCCTCATCATCATCGGCATCATCATCAGCAACATCGTAATCCTCATCACCACTATCACCATCGTACCCATCCTCGTCATCGCCCTCGTTATCATCACATCTTCATGTTATCGTCATCATCATCTTCATCATCATCGTCATCATCATCGTCATCATCATCGTCATCATCATCAGGATCATAATCGTCGCCGCCGCTGCCGCCACCGCCGACGTCGTCGTCGGTCGCCGCCGCCGCCGTCGCCGTCGTCGCCGTCGTCGCCGTGGTCACCGTCGCCGTTGTCGTCGCCGTCGTCGTCATCGCTCCTCTTCCTCCGCGCCCTCCCTCCCTCCGGGGGCAGGGCCGGTGGAGCCGGAACAGCAGCGGCAGCGACACGGGGCCTGCGTCGTCGTCTTTGCCGTCGTCATGTCCGCCGCCGTCCCAGCTCCTCGCTGCTCCCCCCGGGAGGCCCCTCCCTCATCGCCCCAGTCCTTCTCTCTCCTCGCTCCTCGCAACTCCCCCAGGCCCCAGAGCCCCCTCCAACCTCGAGCAGCAGCACCGCCCAGCCGTGCGCATCTCTCCGCGCGATGCCCGCGAGGACGCGCACACGCGTGCACCTCCTTCTGGCCTCTGCCTCTGCCTCTGCCTCTGCCCCTGCATGCGCATCTGTCCCAGGAGTAGGAAAGCCCTGACCTGACCACGTAGCAGGGCGCGACCTGAGCTCGGCCAGGTCTCGTCCTCGAAGAGAAGGACCCTAACCAAGCCGTGGGAACTCCCTCCTTCGTGGTCTTGTTAGGCTTCCCTGTTCCCTGATGTGTCCTGTGATTCTGTGTGATCTCGCCAGGCGAAGTGGCCAACCTGACTCAGCCCCTCAAAATCTCTGCAGCCTCCAGCCCCCACATCTCCGCACGGCCGCCCGGCTCCACCCCTGCGGCCTCTGGTCCGGCCGATTCAGACGCCCCCCACACTGGGCCCACTGCCACGCCCACCTCCCGCTCCTCAGCGGCTGGACCCGCCCCAGCCCTGCTACAGTGCCATTCGCACACACGCCCGCCAGCCTTGACTGCTCGGGTACACCACATCGCCCTGCTCTGAAAGTATAAGAGCCACCCTCATACTAAGCGCCCCTAGAAGCGAGGCCCTTTAGTAAACGCACCTGAGGAAGGCATCGAACACGGCAGCACTGCTAAGGAAACGCCCAGGACTGTCTCGTGAACGCCAGTTATGGGAGTCGGGGTGTTCCTCCTCCTTTTACTGCTTCTTGCGTCTGATCACTGTCGCCTGGCTTTCCCGCTCGCCCTCGCTCGCCTTTTCTCGCCGCCGCTGCACCTCCTCCCCATCTTGCCTCTCTGCTCGGCCTCACCGCGCTGCTCCTGATTCCAGGCACCTCTGGCGCACGGCTCAGGAGTTCAGCGCCCCACGGTTGACCCGAGCCTCGGCCTCGGTCGAGCATCGCTTCCAAGCGTCGTTGAACGGTGTTCGTCCGAGCCTGAGCCTGCGCACGTGCGTCTGCGCACACGCGTGCACGAGTATCTGCGTGTGCGTCTACCTGTGTGTTGTGCCTGCGCCTGCCTGTGCCTGCGCGCAGATGCCATTGCCTGCCTGCGCCCGCCTGACACACCTCACACGCGCGCGTGGAGTTAAATCCTCGGGCTGCTACCCACAGCTCCGACGCAACTACGCAAGCCCAATCCCCCACGGTGGATCAGACCCTGGCCACCCCCGCGCCCGCTGCGGGAACGCATCGAGAGCCGCACGTCAGCGCTAGAGCCAAAATGGCCGCGGACGGTGCGAGCATGCCCGCCACGGGCGCCCACGTGCCACTCGCACTATACATAATGCACACGGCACTGGCACCCCCGCCCGAGAAGAGCATCAGAGCCGCTCATTTTCCGAGTGCCACAACGACGGGCGTGCCGGCCGCGGGGCGCCCCATCCTCTTCGGTGGAGGCCCCGGCCCCCGATCGCCCCCGCCGTCCGGCACCTCCCCGCAGCCCCTGAAGCAACGGCTGCATGCGACTCGGTGCTCACCCGGGGCCATGGCGTGCGCAGCTAGCCCGAACCTCCAGCCACACCGCGTCACCCAGGCCGCCGCGGGCATGGCGGGCGGCCCGACGAGGACAGCGCGCAAGACGCCGGATTCGCGGTTGAGCGCCAACTCGACTGGGCGGCCTCCGCCGGCGGAGGCGGACAGCTGCTGCTCATCCGCCTCCCGGCGAACCACCGCGTCCTGGAGCTTCCACCGCGTCCTGGAGCTCGCAGCGCAGCGATTGGCGCCCCAGCTCCAAACGCACCTCGTCGAGCATCATGTCGACGAGCCCCTCCGGGGTCGCCTGGCCGCGGCGGAGCTCCCCGAGCTGGGATCGCAAGTCCGCGATCTGGCCAAGCACGGACTCGAGGTCGAGGTTGCTGCCGGCGCGCCTGGCCCACTCAGCGGCCGCGTCCAGCGAGGCCTCGCGCAAGTACCCCTGCACGGCGGACGAGCCCCAGCGCCCCAGCAGTTGAATCGCCCACAGATCGACTCCGAGGCGCGCCAGGCCTTGCGCCCCGGCGGGGCGAAGGCTGTGACCCCCGACGCGCTCGGAGCCATCTGGCGCCGCCGCCGGGACGCCGAGGGAGCTGGCTGCGTGGAGGATGGTCGCTGTCATCGCCTCCTTGGAGACCACCCCCCCAGTCTCGGCGGGAAGGTCGCGGTCCGCAGCGCCTTCTCGCCAGCGCGCGGGGAACAACCGCTGCGGCAGCAAAATCTGGTCCCAGATGGCATGTGCTGGGCACGACGGGCGAGGAAGCTGGCCGGGGGTGCACGAGCAACCGCGCGCCCGCGCCACGCCCAGCGCTGCCGCGTCCGTCTTGGACGCCGGCAAATGCCATGCGACCACAGGCGGAGAGCTCGATCTCCCGGGTCATCCACCACGAACCGGCTACCATGGCGTTCCTGGGGCCGACGGGCCCCCCTGCGTTCCAGGCGCCGCGGCCTCCTGGGAGGTCGCCCAGCCGCTCGAACGGCAAGGAGCGCGCCTTGACAGCGGGGCCCACGCCGCGCAGGCAGGCGGCCTGCAGGGTGAGGCCGGCGCGCTCCGCGAGGACCCTGCACGCCGACACGTAGGCCTCTGCGGTGCGGTATAGCCCCCCCTCCTTGAGGCTGGCGCACAGCCGCGTCACCCTGGCCGGCGTCGGAGGCAGTGGGTCGTCGCCCCATGCGCGCAGGAGCGCCCGCCGATGCCGCGTAAACGTCGGCGGCGAGGCGGCTGAGCGCGTGGTCGCGCGCGGCAGGCGACCGGAGGTCGGGCGGCTGACCCCTCCGGCACGCTGACCAGCCAGGGGCGCCCCGGCGCAAGGGGGGTCGCTCGCCGCTGGTCGCTGGCCCTTCACGCTGTAAGCCGTCGCTGCTGCCGCGAAGGGAGGCGCCCCAGGGGCTGCGGGACCGGCGCCGCCGCGCTGCTGCTGCTGCTTGTTGGTAGACCAGACATGCATTTTCACCACATCTGCTAGCACCCGGCCACCTTTGGAGCGTGCCACTGGGGTTTACGCCATCACCGCTTGGTGCAAAATGGGCTGCAGCACGCATGGCATTTGCGCACTATTCCTCTGCGCAGATCCACGCTAGCAAGAGTATGACCCCGGCTACTTTCGGGAACGCTGTTAAAATGACGCCAGGCTTAGCAACAGCAAGGCAAAAGCTGAGAGAAAGAGAGATGAGACAGAGGACCCAAGACGCAAGAGAAACTAGGAGTGAGCTGAGCAAGTTGTGGTACAACGTGAGATTTACATGCAGGACGGGTGCGCAATCAACTCTCTCACAGAAAGCTGCTTCTACTACGGCTGCTGCTGCTGCACCCGCCACACCAACCGCAGCAGCTCGAAGGGCTACACAACATAGTCCAAGGGCTGCGGCGAGACTTGTGCATCCTCGTAGCGGTGTGATCCGCTCGACCCCCATCGAGCAGACATCGAAGAGTAGGATTCCTGGTAGGAGAACGACCAGGCACGTTATCTTGATCACTCGGCACAACATCATGGCTGGCGATTTTGATCTTGTAGC